CCCCCCCCCCCCCCCCAAACCACCACTACCACCACCACCACCACCAAAACCAGTAGCTCTTTATCAAATGACAAATGGACTGAGAAAGCAATCAGGGGAACAACACACTTCACAGTATCCTCAGTAATGCAAGTATCTTGGGTGTAACCGTAACAGAACTAAGTGAAAGATTTGTATGATAAGAGCTCTAAATCTGCCTCACTGTTTCTTCTGGGTGCTGTGTCCACGGTGTGTTTTCTTTGTGTGTTGGCACATTCTTTTCTTTACTCTTTTCCCTCATTTGACTTTGATAATTTTTTGTTGTTTATTTTTATAGAATAGTTTTTCTTAAATTTTAGAAGGGGGCAGGATTCAGGATAATTTCTGTACCTTATGGATATTAAAATAAGGCCACTTATTTCCTGTTATGTAGATGCTTCTTGGTACTGCTTTCTGCTTTCTTACACTAGATATTTTCTTTGCCTCTCTCACCCCTCTGTTGCTGAGGTAATCCCACTCCCGGTATTTTGTTCTCATTCTGTTGGCTTGTCCAGTGAGGGGGCTGTGATAGATGTTTGTCTCATGCTACCCTTAGCCATTCTCATCTTCTAAGGTCTTTGCCTACTTTAGTTTCAGAACCACTTCCTAGTGACCAATGGATGTCCAGAAGTGAAGCCTTATTGCCTCCAGCTTCCCTGGTTCTTCCCCTCAGATATGGACACAGTTAGGTAGTTAGTATAACAAAAGTTATATTTTATTATGCCGAGGGTCATCACTCTAGGTCCACATTCTAAATTACTAATTCTGGTCCCAAGCCTATCTTCCTAAGGCTACTCATCTGTGGGACGTATCTTAGCTAAAGGTCGGGTCCAGTGTCTAACAGAGGTCTCTGATTTGAGGGTCAGGATCCTGGGGGAGACTGTCTGGCTGCAGGGCAGATTAAGGTGGCATCTCTCCAGATGTGCAGAGCAGAACATTGCTCTTGATCTCTGCTTATATACTATATACTGTCCAGTGGACATCATGGGTTCTAAGACTGTGTCTGGTTTATCTTGTGTGAGTGACGTCACTAAGTTCTGATTATCAGGTACAGCCTTGCATGTAGCAGGGATCATTTTTACAAGTCTAAACGGTAAGGTTTTTTTTTTTTTTTTAGCTATTATTGGATTGTTGGTGGTTTGGCCTTACTCTTTCTTTGTAGTTTGTTGGTCAGTTATCAGTGGGTTTTTGCTTTGCTGTGACGATTCAGAGGCATTCAAAAGCTATGCTTTTACTGCCACCATTCCTGGGTTCCAAATTGCTGATTCTATTATAACAAAGTTGGGTTTTTTCTCTGTTTTTTTTTCTTTAAAAATGATTTCTGCAGAGGAAAAGGAATTGGCGTGTAGCGCATCCTTCGGTTCTAGAAGCGAGGCCACAGCTGTCGAGAAGAGCAAGTCTGAAGACAGTGGAAGCAGCTGCCTCTCTCTCTAAAGCGTGGCTCAAGTGTGGAGAAGGATTTCAGAACACTTCTGAGACCCTGGTAGGAGAGATTGCAGAAGATCCTGGGTATCTAGCTATTATAACTAGTTTCTTTGGAATTCTCTTATTTTTCAAAGCACTGCTTTTCTGGTTTATGCCTTGAGTTCTTTTAATAATTGTGTCAAGTTAGTATTTCTCTTCATAGTCTCTGTAGAATCTTTCTCCTTGTTTGAAAATGAAGAGTGCACACTGAATGCCGACAGGTATGAAATTACTGAGCTTACTACTATTTATAAGAATTATATTTATGGGATGTCAGTTTGATTCCAGTTAATTTTTATATATCTTGTAAATTACAGAGGAATGCTGAAATAAACTAAAGATAATATGGTTACAGGTAGTAATGAGTGGTTAGTCATATATATGAGAAGTCATTGACATTGACTATTATGTGAAATGTTTCAGAGCTCAGCATAGAGTTTAGAAAAATATGAAAATAATTTGTGTGTCTGTAAGGACTATGTTCTGGGAAATCTTGGTAAATATTAAGAAAAGCAGAAGAATATGTCAAGGTCGGTATAATTTAATACTGAATATTTTACAAAATAGTATAGTTTAGCCTTTTCACATGAATCAGATGTTAAATTATTTTTATTATTATTTTCCCTGCAGTCATTAGCAAGTGAAAAGACAACTATTATTGAAAACCCCCTGGAATTATCTCCAAGCCCAAAGAAAGGTAACAATGTTGTGTTTATTTTTGTTTCTTAAAATTTTTTACCCCTGATCTTGGAGACCATAACTTTGGAGTCCTTAGATTTGTAAGCAAGCGTTTCACCACTGAACTAAAGTCCCAACCCCTAATATGTTGATTTATTGACAGATGAGACTTAAAGCTATTTTTTTTTCTGTGATTCTTTTTCATCCTTTTAAGATGTCACACAGTTGAATAGTTCATATATTCAGGGTTAGTGATGTAAAGGTATTTCTGAGAACTTGGCTTTCATCCCTGTCGTAATCTATGCTGTTCTTGGTCCTGCTGCTGACTGCTAACATTTGGTGTTCTTACTAGGTTTACTGTAATCATAGAACCTAGTGCCTTTCATGGCACTAAGACCATTGAAAAACAGATATGTATATTATGATTCATAACTAGCAAGATGAAATACTTCTATTGTTGGGAGTCACCGTGACATGAAGAGCTGTATTAAAGGTCATAGCATTAGGGTGGTTGGGAGCCATTGCTTATCTAATAGGATAAGCTCAGGTTTAGGACTCCAGAGAAAGAATGAATAAATGAATAACCAAATGGTCTGCTTTGAATTCCGGCACCATAAAAATATTCATATGGAAAATAAACATATGATTTACTCTATAGGAACCACTATTACAAACTCGATTTTTGCGTGGTGCATCAGTTATGGATGCTTTCTAACTTCAGATACAAGGAAACTGTTCACAAAAATCAGGGACTCATGTTATCTCCTTGTTGTGGGAGCTGTATCCATTTATGTTTAATTTTTAAGATATAATATATGGAAAAACGTATATTTCTTTAAATACATATAGCTTATATATTTTTCTGGTGTTGTTTATTGAGTTTTGGGAGAAAACTAAGTATTAAATAAATTGCTACTTGTATTTAATTACAGAAGTTCTGTTAAGATAAAATTATCTCAGGCCAGAACATATTTGACTCACAATATTGTTTTTTTATTATATTGATGATATGCAGTGTATTCTGAAAGGATCAAAGAGTTTGTACTGATGTACTCTATTTATAACATGGCTTTAGCTAAGCCAAGATAGAGATATAAAAGGCCTAAGAAAGAGGTCGGGGGGAAAAGGTATGTAAAGCATTTCCTAGAACCGGTTCATTTTTAAAATAGCAGCTCCTAAAATTAGTTTAAAGTAATGATAACGTTTCAAACAAAAACAATGGCTCTCCAAAGTAAAAATCAAGCAAGCAAGCAAACAAACAAGAAAACCAACCACATTTAGTAGGTTGAGGAGCAAATATTTTTATGAGAGCTGGAAAATATAAGTAAGGAACATAATTTAAAAACAATGTTTAGGGTCTGGGGCCTGTGTCTATGACTGTTTCTTTGTCTCATTCTTTTTTCATTTGCCTCTTACAACTTACTTGGACCCCAGCTTTTGTCCTTGGCTTTAATTCAGAGATGCCATGCGGGACTACTCATAGAACACTGTGAAGAAGATGTAACACAACATTGTTTTCGTTGTCTTTAGAGTTTTGTGCTTGTGTCTTTGTCCAAATAACATACATCAATTTTCATTCTGATAAATGACAACTGTCAGCTGCATTTGTCTGCTCATCTTGTGTTGCAGACGCAGCAGACGAGAGTCCTGGTGAGCTGGCAAATATAACATGGAGTTCGAGTGGAAGTGATTTCTCAGAGGAAGAAGATACGGCACTCCCTCAACTGCAGAGAGATGGTGGACGCGGCTGTGGAGCAGATAGGTTTTGTGGCAGAACTGCTTCATGTCCAGAAGATGGAGCCACTGAAGGTAAGTTCCTGGCTTCTGTTAAACACTGGGGTCAGCAGTAGTGGAAACTTAAATTCGTATTATACATTTATTATGAATTATGACTACTAAGTTATATCCTCTGTACATTTTCTTACATGTTTCTCATAACAACTGTAAGAAATAGATATTATAGTGGCTTCTTATTTTGTTTTTCCTTTTATATTTTGATATAGAGTATGTGTAGCCTGGCCTTGCCTTGAACCTGAAATCCTCTGAGTTTGCCTCTCAAGTGCTGGGACTACAAACCTGTACCACTATGTGGCCTGTCCTTACTGTGTTTGCTGTTTTGTTCTGTTTTATTGCAGTTAATATATTAGGTTTGATTTGCTCAGATTTAGTTGGAATTTTACTTTTACTCTCTAATGTCAAGCCAGTGTTCCTAATTTCTCAGCAGTGCTGCACCCACGCTTCCTCCTGTCTTACTTGTTATTAATGAATAAGTATTACAAGAATCAGTGTGTGGTAGATAACACTTTGTAGTCCACTGTGTTTATATTAAAACGAGGCTTCTCAAAATTAGCATTGTTTTCAAAATAAGCTTGCTGCTTTTAACTCGGATATTTACTTTAGTTATTCCTCCAAAGTTAGGTTTGCTTAGACATCTTCTCTAGAAAGTGCTTACAATCTGTTGACCTCTTTGAATGACATTTTAGTAGTTATCTGATAAGATGGCATTTTATGTTATATATAAGCTGACAATTCTTATGTTATTCCATTTTTGTTGACTAAAACTCACTGTGAGATAACTCTTGCCTAATCTTTTACATGATTTATAACAGGGTTTCAATATTAAAAACTGCTTTATATTAATTGTATCTTAATAAAGCTGCTATTTAAAGCATGGCTGCTGCCCTCTTCTACTGAAAGTGATATTCGGTAGGTTCTCACGTTGTAACGTTTGTAAATGGAAGCATGCTCTGATGAATTAACCTTCCTGCACTTAAGGAACTGAGAAGTAAGATAGCTGTGAGTTCAAAGCTAGCTTGGTTTATGTCTGGAGCTCCAGCCCATGCTTGGTTCCTTACTGCCATTTTGTTCCAGAAAACAAAGATTTAGGGGTTGGGGAAATGACTGTGTCACTAAAATGTTGCTACACAGGTGTGCGAACCTCACCTCAAACCCTAGCAGCCATGTAAAAAGAGAAAAGCTAGGTGCACCAGCACTGGAACTGAAGACAGGGGAGATTCCTAGTGCGTGCTAACAGCCAGGTAGTTAAATCACCCACGTAAGAGACCCTGTCTGAACATAGAAGGGTGACAGTGATGTAGGAAGATCCCTGACACTGACTTCTGGCCTCTACATACACATGTACACAGTATATGTGCATCCTTACACACTAGCAAATAAATTAAAAGCTAGAATACTTAGGAAGTGAGATTATTGAACTTGCTGTTGACCTTTCTTATAAAGTTGACCCTTAGGTAGTAAAGAGTAAATGATCCTTTGGAGTATTTGAAGCCATGCTCGTGGTCGCTGGACTGTCTTCCTCTTTCAGTTTTCCCTTCTCCCTATTCTTTTAATAGTTCTCAGAGCTTTAATGGACGACAGATACTATAGTTACCAAGATTTGAGTTGTTTAAGACATGAAGCTGGGTGTTAAGTATGTTATTTCCTTTTTACATACTCTGTTTTATGAGCTATGAAATATCTTTATTTTATTAGAAGAAGATTCGGAGTTATAAATGTGCCTCTGTGAAAGGTCATGTGAAGAGAGGCACATTTATTTATAAGTGCTTCAATGATAATTTAGACCTAGGATACCTCTGTTTAATTGTATACTGGTTGCCAAGCCTTTCTTCACTTCCTTTACAAATAATATCCCAGACTCCAGGATGAGAGTATCTCGATTACAGGGTCTAGAATTGGCAGAAGGAAGAACTCTATAAGTTAAATTTGTCAAAATAATTTTTCTTTCTTAAAAATTTCTCTTCTTGGCCGGGCGGCGGTAGCACTCGGGAGGCAGAGGCAGGCGGATCTCTGTGAGTTCGAGACCAGCCTGGTCTACAAGAGCTAGTTCCAGGACAGGCTCCAAAACCACAGAGAAACCCTCTCTCGAAAAACAAAAAAAAAAATAAAAAAAAAATAGAAAAAAAATTTCTCTTCTTGGGTTTGAGGAGGTAGTTCAGTTGGTAAACAGGATTTGAGTTTAACACCCAGAACCTGTGGTTTTAAAGTTACAAGCCCTGATATGGTGACACATTTTTAATCCCAGCACCTGTGAGGGTCTCTGAGTTCAAGGCCACCTAGTCTACACAGCAGATTACAGGTCAGCCAGGGTTGTACTATGAAACCCTATAAATAAAACAGAAACCAGGCATGGTGGTGTTTGAATCTCAATATTAGGGAGGCAGCCAGACAGGTTTCAGGGGCTCAGGAACTCAGTAGTCGGAAGGCCTTGCTTTCTTCGTAAATTACAGGTCACTGAGAGACTCAATTTCAGAAAAACATATAAGGCAGTGACCGAGGAACCAGGCTTGACTCTGATCTGCACATGCACATACACACATGTACACATGTACCCCTCACATGGATATATACCCAGATAACCCGGTCTTTTAGAACTTTTGCAAGGTTCCTTAGCTCTTAGAGACCCAGTCTTCATCTGTAAAGTACATGGCATTACTGTGCTCAGTCGTGAAAATCCCCATTTTGTTTCTTATTTAATCTCACTCACCTCGTTACAATATGCTAATTTCCCGTGGCTGACTCAAAGTAGATATTGTTGTTTCTCTTCCATTTCTTTCTTTTGACTATTGACATCTGGGTTGCTAGGACAGCCCCTTCAAAGACAGTCATTCTGTTGAGTAAAAGCGAGAGTTTGTAATGGGTGCTCCCCAGGGGTGTGGTACTGATGGCAGCTTTGTAAGTGTGTGTGTTGTGTGTTCCTTCTCTGGCTCGCCACGGCTTCCTGCTGTGATGACACAGCAGCCTGGAGAATTTGTTGTGCCTTACCCTGCCTGGCTTCAGACACGAGAAGTAAAGGTCTACTTTTTCAGGGGTTTAATCTCTAGTTTTTTTGTAATTAGTGTAGTGGGCTGTGACCTTATCTTATCAGATCTTACCAGACCCCTCCCCCCCTTTCCTGTGTAATAGTGCTGGCTGTCCTTCCTGGAACTCACTATGTAGACCAGACAGGCCTGGTCTACAGAGACCTGATTGCCCCCCCCCCCCCCCAGTGCTGGGATTAAAGGTGTGTTCCACTATGTCTAGCTTTATAAAAGAGTTATTTTAATTTTTGTCCCATATCTTCTTTGTTATTTTATTTTGTGTCTATATAATATGAGTGCTCGCATGTATGTGAGTGCACCACATGAGTGCCTGGTGTATGTGGAGGCCAGAAGACGGTGTCTGGAACTTGAGTTACAGAGTTGTCTTAAGCTACTGTATGGCTGCTGGGAACAACCTAATTTCTCTGTAAGGACAGCAAGGCTCTTAATTGCTGAGCCGTCTCTTTAGCCCCATCCCCTATATTTTAACTTTACTATTGTTATTTTTTCTTTAGTATTTTAAGTTCTAGCCAGGTACTAAATTTAACACATTTTTAATGAGCTATTTCTTCACTTTAGTGGAAGGAAGAGAGTCGATGCCCTTCTATTAAGTGAGATGTAAGTAGACCCTTTATCTTAGCTCCCTGTGTATTTGTACTTTGACCTGTAGGAAAGATTTATGTATTGTACCTTACAGTTTATCTGTAATAACTACTTTCAGTTATTTAGGCATAGCAGATTAGATAAATAGACCCATTATCTTAGCTCCCTGTGTATTTGTACTTTGACCTGTAGGAAAGATTTATGTATTGTACCTCACAGTTTATCTGTGATAACTACTTTCAGTTATATAGGCATAGCAGATTAGATTTAGTTCATTTAGTCATGTAATATGTGTGCACAATTTAGCTATTTGTCTTAAAATTTAGCTAAAGGTGTAATGAGATTATGTTTAAGAGGTAAAATGAAACTAACTTAGTTTGTTTCCATATTGATGAAAGATATTTCTGGAAAAAAATTCTCGGGTGTAGATACTTGGAGAAGTTATTTGTTTTAATTTAAAATTTATTTTTTCAGATTTATTTTTATTTTATGTATATGAGTGTTTTGCTTTCATGCATGTTTGTGTACCACGTGCATGCAGTACCCATGGAAGCCAGAAGAGAGCATTGGATCCCCTTGGAACAGGAATTACAGACTTTTTTAAAAACAAAACAAAACAGGAATTGAACCTGGCCCTTTGCAAGAGCAGTCAGTACTCCTAACTACTGAGCCACCTGTCTAGCCTTGAAAAAGTTATTTCTAACAATGAACTATATAAGTAAATCATGGCTTGCTGCTATCTTAATTACTTGATGCAAGAACCCACAAAAGTCTATTAACAACTTAATGAAAAGATAAACTCACAAATGCAAACAAAGCAGAGGCTACTGCTGATCCAGCTGCCTTGTTCTGTCCAGGAGTGTAGAGCACCAACTGCAAGCCACCTCTACACTGCATTCTGACTCTGACCACACAAAGAGGAAGAGCTCCTTTCCCAGTTTGTCAGGTCATGTACTCAGAGAAAACCACACCCATGGCAAGTCACTCCCAAATGTCATTGGCTAGATGGAGCAAGTTCCCACATTTCCCTTCTTTTTCTAAATAAAAAGGTTCTAATCCTAACATAAAACTAGATACAATAAGAACTATCAAGTATTTCCAGAAGAAGGAAAAGGTATTAAAACAAACAAAAATGAAACTATAACCAACAAGAACAGCATCAAGCAAGAAACACGTTCTAAATATCCAGATCACAGGTAATACTCAATAGCTGTCCTATTCTGCAGAGTTCAAATCTTGTACCTAATATGCCCTTAGCTAAGATATGAGAGGATTGATAACTATAGCTATCTAGTCTTCAACCCCATCAAAGACCTGAGAAGGAAAATAATATTGCCTGAGTAAGGAGGAAGTACAAACAAATGACTTCCAAAAGGTGCAAGAAATGACAGAAACAACTGACTGCCTGGACAGTCACTCAATGTTTTTTCCTATAATTTTGGGGCATCTAACTTTGTGTATAGGCCTAGAATATCTGACAGACTATTTTCAGAAGTAGGAAAATTTTGAAAGACTCTCCTACCCTTTCTTGGCAAGGTTTGGCAGTTGCTTTTTATTGTATCCTGCTTGTCCAGATTGGACAGCATGCTTACTGTCAGCAGTCAAAGCAAGGATAGTTCTTTGCCCACTAGGCCATTTTTGCCAGAAAGAAAACAGGCTTTAGTTGGGTGGTAATTACACACGCCTTTAATCCCATCACTTGAGAGGCAGAGGCAAGTGGATCTCTGTGAGTTCAAGGCCTGCCTTGTAATTCTGGAACTATAAGAGCTAGTTCCAGAATAGGCTCACTACACCGATGCCATATCTCAAAAATTAAAAAAAAAAAAAGACAAAAAGCAAACAAGCTCCATATGGAGTGTCTTTGGTGCCCATCATTCTCTTGGGAGTAGATCGGTGTTGCCAGGAGCAGTTGTGTCTCATGTCAACAGAATTCTAAGTTATTAAAATATTTAAATGCCATATTCTGAAGATCTTTGAAGTGTTTGAAGATTATCTGTCTATATGGAATATATCTTTGTGCATCTAGAAAGCCTAGCTAAAATAACTATAAGCATGACAGATATGGTAACTATTAACCTATAATTCTTAATAGCCTATTTAAAGACGTCACATTATAAAAATAAAAAAATCTGTAAACAGATGTACAGTATAAGGACAAGGACCTTGAAACTGTGGCAATATACAAAAATATCTTAATCAGAAATAGAAATGTGGAGTGCAGTATAACAAAAATATCCTTGTTTGCATCAATATATAAAATATTCTAAACAGATGTAGAAAAATATATACAATATGATAAAAATAATCTTACAAAAATACTTTAAACAGAAGTAAAAACATATACAATATGACAAAATATAAATTTGAATTAATAACAATATGCAAGTTATCTTAAACCGGAATAGGAAAATAATTTTACATTTGTATCAATATATAAGAATCCATACCAATGCAAATTTTCTAAAATTGATAGTTATTTTGATTTACATGCAGATACAATAATATACCTTATTGTCCTATCCTATCTCTCTTCTCTATTCCAAATGTGATTACTGAGTCTAATCCTTATTGCTCCACCCTCAACCCTATAACAATTTATAACCAACCCTTACAGATGACAGTTATCCATACCCTGAGAAAAACTAAAAACCCATCCATCCCACCTATTGGGAGAGGGAGTGGCATGTTTGTAGAATTGCTTCCTGCTGTCTGGGGGGTGATGGTCTCTCTATGGGATCCTGTAAACAACTAAAGCAATGGTTCAGCCTCCCGAGGACTAATGGTTAAGGCTTATCTGAAGTTCTGGCTGGTGTCATCTAAAAGGGTGGACCGTCTCAGCTAGCCGTCTTAGAATTGTCCTGAGCAGTTTGTAGTCCAAAGACGATCTTTGAGTGGTGATTATAAGCTCAATCACATTATTATTTACCAGGTAGAGATGTAGCTGTGGGGCTCCATAGTCTTTTTTGGAGACTTAAGAGATCACTGTTAGGAAAATTTATTGTTCACTGTGTAAAACTTAACATTATTAATATCAAAACAGAAAGTTTAAATTTTAAGATAGCTATATATCCAAGGAAAGGTTCTAAAGAGTTAAAAATAAGTATAACAGGAAAGAGATTTGTGACAATAGTCTCTAGATTTTGGTTTTCTTCTATTCCACACTAGGTGGCTCTTCTGATATGAGACAAAGGTTCTGAATTTTTTTTTAACAACGTGCTTAGATTTAGAGAAAGGGAGAGCCGTGCTCCAACAGCAAAGCCAGCTTTGCTAATTGAGTCAGGACTTCATTCTTTTTGAAAAAATAAAGAGATATTAATTTTTAGGTAGTGAGGTTTTTACCCTGTAGAGAATTTTAGTACCACCAGATCAGATTTCTGTTTGCTTGGTAATTTTTTTCCAAACAGTTCTCCTTTCTTCTTTAGATGCCTAGATGTCCAATGTCTTTTGACTTCTTGAAGATAGGTATTTTTATTTTCCTGTAGAGATAAAATAGAACAAAAATCCAAAAACAAAACAAAACAAAACAAACCAGAACCCTGCCCCTTATAGGGTGAATTTTCTTTTTGACAGGTTCAATTGCCACATCAGTTGATGAATTATCACTTCTCCTTAATAAGAGGTCTCCCCTGTTTAAATCAAATCTTTGCTAATTTTGATGATATCCATAGATTTTCTTCTCCTGTGGAAACAAAATTGAAACTCCTTGCCCAGAGTAACATATTTCCTGGTGTCCGTTCAGAGGTCAACACATCTTTAAAATACACTGGCTGATTTAATTCAGTAGTCTTTTCTGTTGTGCAGTGTCTCTCCGCAGCTGTTGTTCCCTTTGAATAGTATTTAGGAAATTTAAGGTTAATAAGGCATTGTGCAGTCTCTCTCTGGGGGTCTTTATTACCTCTTTTATGTATCAAGCATTTCTTTTAAAGCACGATTAGGTCTTTCTACAACTGCTTGTCCTGTAGGATTGTGTGGTATACCTGTAACGTGCTTTATATTAGGCAAAAAACTGTTTCATTTTATTAGAGTCATATGCTGGGCTTTGTCAGTCTTAATATGTATTGGTATTCCCATGATGGCCATGACTTCTGATAGGTGTATAATTACAGAATCAGCCTCTTCAGAACTCAAAGCAGTTGGCCATTGGAATCCTGAAGACATTCCTATTTGTATGGTGTACATATTTTAATTTTCCAAATTCTGCAAAATGAAACTCATTCATTTGGCAAACTTCATTTCTTTGCATATCTTTTGGGTTACTTCCTGCAGGTTATGGAGTCTGATTAAACAAGGAACAAATAGGCTTTTTTTTTTCTAATACAATTTCCTTGGCTTGTTGTCTAGTGATGGAAAAATCCCTTTTCAAACCTTTGCTATTAATGTGTTTCTTTTTTTTTTTTAAATAAAATTCTGAGGCCTCCCATAATGTCCTATTAGTAACTGATGAATTTCCTCATTACCTTGCAAAAGAGGACCTGGTAGACCTGTATGGTATCTGATGTGTGTTATATGTATATATGGACTGATTCCTATTCCTGACTATTGCTTGTAATTGTATAAATACCAAAGTTAATTTTGAACCACCAGGAATAAATTCAGTGGTTTCAATATGTAAAACAACTCTTTCTGCATATTGAGAATCAGTAATTGGATTGAGAGGTTCTGTAAACTCCATTAGTACCATGAAAATGGCATACGTTTCTGACTTTTACACAGAATTATAGGGCTTTGAACCACTTCGCTTAAGTTTCCTAATTTGTAACCTGCCTTTCTTGGTTTATTTGCATTAGTATAGAATGTAGGTGCTCCAAAGATTGGTGTTCCCTATATAACATGAGGAAGGACCCAACTGGTTCTTTTTATGAATTTAAGTCTCTTACTTTTGGGATAACTCTCATTAATCCCTCCCAAAATATTACTGCAAGCTCTTTGCTAATTTTCATTTTCTTACCACAACAATTGCTGAATTATGTAGAATGAGGCAGTTTTCTGTTATTGGTGAGGGATCTCTTCATTATCTTAATTTTAAAAAGTCAAGATATGTAAAAAAAAAAGAAATAGTATGCATTTTATTTTCTTGGGCATCCTGGAGAAACAAGAATTCAGAAAACAAATGAGTAAAAGTAATTCACTTGTATTTCAGGTGGGGGTGGGAATTGGAAGGCACAGTGACCAGAGATGAGAGCAGGAGTACAGTGTTCACTGGGTGTGTTTGTGAAAGTCATCTTGTGCTGTGGGTGTATCACTACTGAGAGTAAGTTCTGTAAAATAAGTACTAAGGGGATATACAGTTAACAAAGTTAAAAATGTATTTTATTTAGATGAATTGCAGTTGATTGAGTGGGAGATTAACAGTGACGTGGAAGATCCTGGGGGGGCCAGTGAGTGTGAAGATGGTGAGGGCTCCCTGGACATCTCGGATTGTGCTTCCTGTGCAAGTGGTCGTTCCTTGACAAATGATGACAGGCTCTGTGAGCCCCCTGAGGTAAGAATAAATTGTGTAAAAATCTTGTATTCTTTTTGTGACATTTGTGATTGTAGCTTTTTTTGTTCACTCAATCTTAATCTCACCTTTTCAGAGGCAGTCACTTTAACTCATGCTAGAGTATTTTGTCCTTCACGCTCATCCCTAAGTTACAGACTTCTTTCTCCTGCGCAGAGCTCACATCCATCCATCTCTATTTCTCTATTCCTTATGCTGCCCTTGTAGTCTCCCAGTACAGATACGTTGAGGTTTGTGACTAGTATTTGACATTTTTGTAATTGTGAATCCGTAATATTGATGACGGTTATTTCTTTCATAGCTTTTTTTGTTTTCCTTTTACATACTATTATTTTTTTAACTTAACCTTATTTAATGCTAATAATTAATTTGTCACTGTTGTTTGTCTCTGTTGTAAAAATGTTTAGATATAGTAAGGATTTTTATCCCTTCTATTTTCTTAGAGAACTTCAGTCTACAACCACTAGCCACCTCAGTTTGGATATACTATTCTCTGTAGTTGTGAATGTTGTCACTTGGGGTCTCCCCTCACTCTCTATGTTAGTTACACTTTCATAGCTGTGACAGACCCCTGGGAACAACTTCAGGGAGGAAGGATTTATTTGGATTCCCTGTCTCGGTGCTCACATGGCCTCTTGGTTGGCTGAAGTATCTGGTGGGTGAGGCATAGCAACAGAGAAAGAAGCAGAAAGGGCTGGCTGCCTGGTGTAGTCTTAGGAAGCATGACCCTAAGTCATCCGCTTCCTTTAGCTAGGCTCAACACTAGATATTTCAGAATCCCACAAAGTAATGTTTGTAGATGGGGACGTGTGTGCACCACAAGAGCCTGCAGAGAGTTTCCTACCAGCTGCTGTCGCTAACATTCCAGGAATGTATCAACCTTAATCTTGCATGGAGCTCTTTGTCCTCCTGTACTTAAGTGTTTTCTTAGTTTTCATCCTCATTTTGGTTAGATATATTTTTTAATCGTCTCAGAGAAAAAGTTTATAGAAGATAATTGCTTCAAATTGGGCGTGTCTGAAAATGTTATCAATGTGGTAATTTACATCTGTAGTCCCAGCATGGAGGAGGCTGAAGCAAGAGGGCTATGAGTTTGAGGCCAGTCTAGGTTACATAGTCTGAGAGAGGGAGAGGGGAAAGGGCATGCTTTTATAATGCATTTATAATGCATGTGACTGAAAACTTGTATAGACTTTTAGGCTGAAATTTTTTTTAAAGCTTTAAAACATACCTTCAAAAAAAAAAACATACCTTCATTTTGCTGTTTTTTTTTTTTTCCCCTGAGTTATTATCAACTAGCCTGAGGTAGTCTCATTCTTGATCTGCTAAGATTTCTTTGTTGCTGTTTTTAAACAATTTGATTGTGGTATGCTTTGGTATGTTATTCTGTTTGGTATTTGTCAAGATGCTGGTGAATGCAATGAATGAGTTTTGGGGAGTCTTCAAGACCAATAAGTTCAGTGTTGTTTCTTTTTGGTGGTGTAGGAGACATATTTGTCAGCTAGTACTATGCCACCGAGGAATGTGATCCTTAGCATGATTTTATAATGACTGCTTTAACAGTATGAAGTGATATCTCATTGAGTTTTTTATAAAAAAATTTATTTAATTGTGTGTGTGTGTGTGTGTGTGCGCGCACGTGCTTGGGGACGCTAACAGAGTCCAGAAGAGGTCATCAGGCTACCTGGAGCTGGAGTTATAGGAGATAGTGAGCTACCCACCATGGGTGTTAGAAATCAAAGTCTGGTCCTCTGCTAGAGCAGTGAGTACTCTTAATCGTGGAGCCATTGGGATTTTAATTTATATTTCTTTGAAGTCTACTGAAGATTTGCACTTTTGATCATTTGTTTGTCTTATTACATCATGAAGGCTTCTTAAAAGCAAAAACAAAAACAAGACCAACCACCCAAAAGACAAAACAAAAACAAAAACAAAAAAAACACTACCCCAAAATAGAACTATCCTATAACCCAGCAAACATACATCTGGGTATGTATGTAAAGGAATTGAATCAGTGTGGTGAAGATCTATTCCTGTTGTCCTTGTTTGTTGTCCTTTCTGTTGCTGCGAAACAATTGACCAAAGGCAAGCTGAGAGTGGAAGAGGAGTCACGGCAGGCATTCAAGGAAGGAGCTTGGTGTAGAAACCATTGAGCAGTGCTACTTAGTGGGTTGTTCCCCTATTGCTTGACTGCCTTTCTTATACAATCCAGGTCCACATGCTCAGGAATGACATTCCCCTAGAGTGAACTGGACCGCCCTCTCATACCAATTAGCAATTAAGGAAATGCCCCACAGACATGTCCAGAATGCATTCTGATAAATCCATTTCTAAAATTGAGAGTCCCTCTTCCCAGGTATGTCTAGTTTTGTGCCAAGTTGTCAAAAATCACGACACCCATATTGTTGCAGATTTATTCATCATAGCAAGATATTGAGGCAACCTAGGCGTCCAGACCTGAATGAATGGGTAGATAAAATATGTTAAATATGTAATCAATACTATTCATCACTTAAAAAGAAATGAATTCTGACCTTTGTAGCAACCTTGGTGAGCTTAAGGACATCTGCTAACTGAAATAAATCAGATACATATGAAGGCAGAACAGGGTAGTATCCTTTATTTGGGGTTGTTTTAGATAAAATATATTTTATTTTATGATTTCAGAGTTTTTGGACTATTTGCATCCATATAATGAGTTATTTTGGATATGGGAACAAAGTCTAAACATGAATTTAGTTATGCTTGGTATTCAACCATGCACTACACAAGGACTGAATGCAGTTCATACAATGCTTTTAGTATGCTTGGCTTTGACTATAACTCAACATGTTGTGATCATATCTTGTCAATTACTCAGAAAATTTCAGATTTTGGAATTTGTGTTTTTGATTTAGGGATGCTCATCCTGTATTACTATGGGGCAGCTTGGTAAGGTATGTTTTTGTTTGTTTTTTTTTGAGACAAGGTCTCATTATATAGCTCTGGTTGACCTGGGACTTACTACGAAGACCAGTTGGCCTTAGACTCACAGAGTTCTATCTTCCTCTGCCTCCCATGTACTGGGATTAAAAGTGTGCACCACCAAACCTGGGTTGATGTTAATTCTCAGGATGTTTGGTAGAATTCATCATCGAAGCCAAAAGTTCTGGGCTTTTCTTTGATGTTGTTTTTTATTTTTATTTTTCCATTCATGTTTTTAGTTGATGAATCACTTATCTTACTTGATTATCTATGGAGACTTTCTATTTTTGCATGATTCAATGTTGGTAGGTTGTGAATTTTTATGCAGTTATCCATGTCTTTTGAGTGACTAACAGGCTAGTGTTAAGTTTTTCTTCTTGCTTATGTGGTGTCTATTGTAATGGCGCCTCGCTCATTCTTTTCCCTTAGTGTTTCTGTTTCTTTAGTTTCTCTCCCCCTTTCCTGAAAAGAAAAAAAAAAGCACCAGCAGCTTTGTTTGGCTGCTCTCTTCTTTTGCTTGTCTAGTCTATTTTATTTGTTTCATTCTAATCTTTTTTATTTCCTTTTTTCTGTGCATTTTGGGCTGTTTTTTTTTTTTTTACACTTTCTTTTTTTTTTTTTTTAGTTCTTTATTATGTGATTTTTCTGAGATTTTCCTTTTTCTTTCCTTGTTGTATAGTATCAAACCCAGGCCTACATGTGCTAGGTAAGTGCTCTTTCACTGAGCCTGCCTTCCAGCCTCATCTTCATTTTGCTTTTCTTTCTTCTTCTTTGAAAAGGTTTCTTTTGTTAAGACAAGATCTCAATGCCCTGGCACTTGCTATGTAACTCAGACTTGCAGATTTCTTTCTCTGTATCCTCACTGTTTATGATGACAGGCATCACTGTAACCTGACTCTTGGTGGCGGCTGCTGTTCCTCTTCCTTTCCTCCCTTTTCCTTTCCGTTTTTCTTTTCAGTATTTTTTTCTTGTTCTTTGGCTTCTGTCATCACTGTCATAGGTTCTCATTGTTTCCCAGACTGGTCTCAAAATCTCAATCTTTCTGTTAATTGTTGGTATTATAGCCACAAACCAGTTCTTTGATGCCCAGCATCCTCTTGAAGTAGATTGGTGCTACCAGGAGCAGATGTGTATCATTATCCAACATTTTAAATGCCATATTCTGAAGGTCTCTGAAAGATTTGAAGAATACCTGTCTAACTGAAATGTATCTCTATATAACTGGAAAACCTAACTAACATGACTACAAGCTTGACTATCATAGATGATTATCTATTCACCTGTATTTCTTAATTATACATTACATTTTTTTTAATATTTATTTATTTATTATGTATACAACATTCTGTCTGTGTGTATGCCAGCAGGCCAGAAGAGGGCACCAGACCCCATTACAGATGGTTGTGAGCCACCATGTGGTTGCTGGGAATTGAACTCAGGACCTTTGGAAGAGTAGGCAATACTCTTAACCGCTGAGCCATCTCTCCAGCCCTATACATTACATTTTTAAATGAGCTGCACAAACACAATACCTTAATCAAGAGAAGAAATATATATATAATAAAATTGACCTAAAATTTGTATCAATAGACCAAGATCCATATCAGTGCAAAGTATTTCTCTTTATATCAGATGTGCAGGAGGGTGTCGTCTAGATGGC